GCTCCGGGCCTCGCTCCTGGCCGAGGCCGCCCGCGGGTCTCCCGGGGCCCTTCCCGCCGCGCAGCCGAGGAGGAGGAGGCGCGAGGGACATGGCCACACTGCCCTCCAGTGGCCGCGCCGCGGCACGGCAGGCGGGGCCGGGGTTCGGACCCCAGACCTCGCTCCTCCGGGCCTCGCGGGGCGTGCAGCTCCCCGCGACGGTGCCCGGGAACCGCCCGCAGCGTGCGCAAAGCCGGACCGCCGGTGTCCGCCCAAGCCGGAGGATTTCCACTCCTAACAGGTCGCGGGTGAGGGAGCTGTTGGCCTGCTGGCCCTGGGGCCGCACTTGGAGGCCGCTGGCTTGGTTCTTCCGCTTGTCATGCACTCATTCAATGTGGAACGCGTGTGGAAAAGCACAGAAGGTACACCGTGGCCACCCTCATGGGACCTAGCCAGGCGGGGGAGACAGACTTGTTCCAGTACCCTCATAAATAGATACGAGTCCTGCCGGGGATGTGGCTCAGTGGCACCGCACCTGCCCCTCAGGTGTGAGATCAGGAGTTCAATTCCCAGTACCAAACCTAAACCAAACCAAAAGTAATGAGTCCCTCTGCAAAGGTTTCCAAATTCCTGTGACAGAGCAGAACAAGGTGCCCTAAGCACATAGGTGATGGGGAATTACAGAGGCCTCTGATGTGGGTTTCCAACTTTCAGATGGTGCAAGAGCAGTATGGTTTTCAGCAGAAACCACGCCTCAATTTTGAATGTGGATCTTTCCTCAGGCTAGCAACATGCCTGCAGGACTGTCTCTTGAAGGGATATCCCAGTCAGCCCAGGCCCTCTCGAGGGACACGGTGCTCCGCAGTGTGCCCTGCGAAGCTGTGATGTCGGGAAGTTACGGTATAACAGGCACTTAGAGGACGGGGATGTAGTTCAGTGGCGCGGCGCCTGCGTGGCAAGCATGAGGTCCTGAGTTTGGGTCCCGATACCACAAAAAAAAAAAAAAAAAAAAAAGATATGTAATTTACATTGGGCCTAAGGAAGCTATCAGGGATGGTCATGGAGGACATCCCTTACACAGAGATGAGAGGTCCTGGGAAGGACGAGATGGAGTGGACATGGGGCCCAGAAAGAGCAGGTAGAAAGAAGTAGGCCTTGTACGGGATGCAGAGCTGAGAGCGGAGCTGGGGCGTGGAGCTGGGGCGGTGCACCCGCTCCCCAAGGCCCCTTTACCAGGGCCACCCTCAGAGAGAGGCAACCTCTTCATGCCAAGAATGCTGCCCACTTCGAGAATCTTAGCCCTTGCCCCTTGGCCCTGGCTCAGATTGGCTCGGTTCCAGACCCTTCCTTTCAGCCGAAGGAGTCACATGCGATGGAAACAGCTACCCAGGGGCACACTGGACAGCGCCTTGGGATCAGCTGCGACTCCGCCCTGGGTCACTATAATGTGGCATGACACAGGCTCCAGAGGGATGGCCTGCCCTCGGGAGGCAGGAACTGGGACGCGCCATCCTGCCCCAGCCTACCCCTGCACCTGCCGCTGGGCTGATAACACCCTGATGACTCCAGGGCAGTTTGCTGGGGCTGGCCAGACAGCGCTCGGCAGCCAGGAATTCTGTTGTGTGATGTTGGCGACTTGGTCTTGCTGCCCACTTCTTGCCGTGAGTCCTGTCCATTCCCTCCCAGTTTCCAAGTCAGAAAATGGGTGAGAGGCCAGGGAGGTAGCTAGGAGAATAAAGCGCTTGCCTGGCAAGTGCAAGGGCCTGAGTTCAATCTTCGGTTCCACCAATAGAAAGGAGAGGAGAGAAGAAAAGAGACGAAAGAAAGTCATATTAGAAGATCTCCAAGCCCAGCCCACTAGCATCCTGGGAGTATCAGCATATCCCAATACATTGTAAGAGTTTTGGTGTAGAAGAACACCAAAAAGAACAACTGTTCTAGGAAAAAGAACAACTGAAAAAAAAAATGCAACTAGTCCAATGCTGCTAATAATTCTGTGTGATCTGCAAGTGACTTAGCCTGTGAGCCTCAGTTTTCTCATCTGGGAAATGGGAATAACACAATACCTGCTTCTTCTCATCATTCTGAAGATTAATAGTAACAGCCGCCACTTAACTGGTGTTTCCTCTGCACCAAGCACTCAAGGCTCCTCATGAGGTCATGTGCAGGAGCACTGGCCCACGGGCAACGAGGAGGAAGGCTCTGTCATGGGAGCCTTGTTATTTCACAATAGTCCTGGTGCTTCTGCGGTTGTGGGTAAGTTTAATAGGTGGAAAATGCTCAGCAAGCCCTTGGCACATAGTAAGCACTCAATAAATGGTGGCCTTCATTATGAGCCAGAGCAGATAAGATAAGCTCCTGTGAGAGTCCTGCAGCAACCCGAGTGTGCGGGGTGGGCGGCCCGAGCGCTCGCTCGCTCGCTCTCGCACTCACCCAGGTTCCCTCTGGAGCCAGCCCCTGCCTGGTGGCTGCTTCCCAGGGCTGAGGCTGCAGCTCTTGTGCTTCCCAGGGAGCAGCTAATTAGCCTCCCTGCAGCAGGGAGCGCCCCAGATGAAAGGTGCTGAATAGGCCGCAAGAGCAAGGCGTGACCCCCATATTTATAGCCAGGGCTCCCGTGGGTGGAGAGGCAGGCTGCGTCGGGCCTCGCCTTCTTTATGACAGAAGTTCTCAGGAAAGGAGCTAGCTGCAAGGCTTGGAGCCTGAGAAACACCTGCAGGGGGTGGGTGGGGGTTTGGAAGCAGGGGCAGAGCTGCCCCAGGCCCACACTGCTGCCAGGCCTGGAGCTTTGGGAACCAGAGACAGCCTAGGGTAGGGTGGGTCAGCGCTGGCTCTGGTGCCGTGTTGATGGGCCAAGAGCCCAGCTCTCTGCTGGCCACTGCGTGTCCCAGAGCCTCAGCTTCCTCATCTGTTAAGTGGGAATAAGGACAGCACTCGGTACCAACAGGCCCTGGTGCCCACAATGTAAATGAGGACTCACTCTTGTGTTCATTCCATAGCTACTGATTAAGCACCTACCCTGCGCCCCGCACCAGGAACTGGAAATAAAGTGTTGAACAAAACAGAGCAAGTGTTTACTTGATTGAATGACAGGCTCCAGAAGTGAGGCGGGCTGTGGCTGAGGCTCAACGGTAGAGTACTTGCCTAGCATGTGTGAGGCCTGGCTTCTCCTCCCAGTATCCTAAGCAGGGAGCAGAGCAGGTACCGAGGCAGGTAAGGCAGGAGTGGGCAGATTCAGAAACAGACCAGGGACAGAGCTGTGGCATATGCTAATCCCAGGCCCCTGGGAGGCTAAAGCAGGAGGATTGAGAGTTCAAGGCTACCTTGGGCAGTTGTGTAATACCCCCTGCACCCCAAGATAATTTTTAAAAAAGCCCTAGGGAGTAAGTCCCCTCCAAACCTCAAAGAAAGGAAAGAGAACCAGGAAGGAAGGGACCATCAGCAGCCCAGGAATCTAGCCCCGCACCTGACCCCTTGGTCCATCTGCCCCTGGTTAGGGGCAGCCCAGTCTAGGCACTGCCTGACTCCTGCTTCTACTCCAAGTGCAACCCAGTGAGGCGGCCAACTCGTTAGCCACCGGGTGAAGCCACCTCCCGCCATCCTAGCACCTCCCTTTGCGCTTGCCCTTCTAGCGCCTCCTGCCGCCTGTGGATCCTCACTAGCCATGAGGATCGCGGCTCCTGGTCTTTTTTGGAGGTTTATGCAACAAGATGAATCATTTAGACTCAACCCAAAAATGGGCATGTGAAAGGGGCAGACGCTTCTTAGATGAAGAAGTGCAAACAGCAAATTTGAAATCAATATGGACACTGTGGGTCATTCGAGAGATGCAAATTAGAACAACACTGAGGGGTGTGGGAGGGAGGGGTTCTCCACTGCT